CTGGGCGGTGCACAGGCCTCTCCGGGTTCTCCCCGGCTGGCAGGACCGCTCCCCTTCCACTCGACCTTTCCATGGGAAGCTCCACTGCCCCCTAGCCCTGTATGGGCCTGTCCCCCCACACACATGCCCCACTGCCCCCTAGCCCTGTATGGGACTGTCCCTCCATCCCCCCCTACAGCCAGCCCTCTGCCCCCCAGCTCTGCATGGATGTGAGCCCCTCAGCACCCAGCGAGTGGCTGCGCCAAGTCCAGTGGGGGAACGGAGATGCCCGCTGCTCAGAAACGTGTTATCCACGATCACCGAGGGGTGGGGAGCCACCGGGCCCTGCACCCCCATCCGCAGCCAGAGGCGGCTCTCAGCCAACAGGTGCAACAGAAGGTTTATTGGTTCAGGGACACAGCGTAGCACAGACTGGTCAGCACGGGACCAAGCAGGAGCCAGCACCATCCATCTTGGAGAGAGGGGGGGATCAAAACCCACAGTCCTGCCCCCCATCTCTGCACCCCAAGCCAGCCAGACTCAATCACACGCCCCAGCAGCCAGGCTCTGTCTGATGGCAACCCCGCCTCCAGCCTTTGTCCCGCTTCTGGGCAAAAGGTGTCATGAGCCTGGGCCATAGTGACACTGCTGGCTGGGGCAGGGTCCCTCGGCGAGTCACACCCCGAATTCCCATCCCCACCTAGACAGCCTGGCTTTGCCCACCGAGACCAGAGCCCCCACAGTGCCGGGTGCTGCAGAGAGCAAGCAAGAGACAGCCCGGCCCAAGGAGTTCACAGGATGAACAGAGAATGGTGGGCAGAGGAAACTGAAGCATGGAACTGGGCTATGAGGGTATGTCTACACTACCACCCTAGTTCGAACTAGGGTGGTAGTGTAGACATACCCTGACTCTCTCATGATCCCACTGCAGCCAGGCGAAGAACCCAGGTGACCCGACTCCCGCCTGCTGTCCTGCCAACTGGGCAGCTAAACCCATCGTCACCTCCCCACTGAGCGATTCTCCCAGGATGCACCTGGCCAAGGCCCGGCCTGACCTGCTCACTGGACAGGTGTTGGGAGGCACGGGGCTAACCCCAGTGCTCACAGGCCTGAATGCTGCTAGCTTGGGCGGGGCAGATGCTCGTCACTCTGAGTCTTCCAGGCCGGGTTGGGGTCTCTGCGGGCGGGAGGCAGGCGCCCCTGTGCAGGGCTGGGCCCGGCGTGATGCAGGAGCAGACAGGGCCCCTCCTGTTCAGGGCAGAGGGCAGCTGCAGGGGGCATCAGAGACAGCTGTGGGGGGCACTATGAGGAGTGGGGGGAGCCTGTTGTTACCCCAGAGCTCAGCACTGGCCAGATCCTGCCCCCCAGGCTGGGGGTCCCAGTGCCCCTGCTCACCGCAGGCAGGGCAGGGCTATGTGACAGGGTCTGTCTGGTCACCCCCCACCAGCCCCACAGTGCACAGGC